TAGACGCTAAGTTGTAACAAAGTTTATATATTGAAACCACACAATCATTTCGCCTATTTTCTGCCTATCAATGTTATCCGAATCATCTAAATCGAAGAACTCAGGGTTGTATGAAATAGAGAAATGTTACATGTACAGCCTTTTTACGCATACATTTTGACAGCCCTCTCACATGGGGGATGAGGCCCACAATCGTGGGCCCCACACTCATGTAAGAGGACTGTCAAACTTACTGTGTAAAAAGGCTGTACATTCAGCATTTTTCTATGAAATATACCTGCAAAAGGACACAATATGCCTGGAAATGGTCGTATATAGTTCAACTTTCCATCGAGTGATTTCAATCCTACTAATATAAATGAAGATAAAAAATTAAAAATCAAATCTAACATGTTTGGCTAAGCTTTAACAAGGTCGGGTCACTTACATATATTTTTTTTTATTTTTAAATAATCAAAGGCCGCAGCCATGGAGTTTTGAACAAAAGAATAGAATAATACCTACGAAGATTTGACGAAAGCAAAGTAGACCACAGAATCAGCCCATATTAGAATGGAAAATAAATTTAAATAAAAAGTCAATCTCTCTAAGAAATTGCATTTCACTGAAAATATCTCTTCCTTCTGAGTACTTGTATCTTCATATTGTGAATTACGATTTGAACTAATTCTTCTTCATATTGAATGAGCTTATAGCCTGAAATTAGGGAGTTTTCATTAATTCGATCTTTCTCAGACTTCCTTTGAAATTTTGAGGTAGAGTTGGGTGTTTCTGTAATTATGTTGAATTATTTCCAACGAACATATTTTGTTTAATACTAACTTATAAATAAAAATACACTAAATAAAAAAAATTATTTATAAGCAAAAACATTATATTAAATTAAAAAATTACTTATAAGTAAAATATTAATTATAAGACAAAAAATTATTTTTGTGTAAAAATATTACAAATAAGACAAAAAATCGCTTATTCGTAAAAATTATTTAAAAGTACAAAATTAATTATAATTATAAGGTTTAGGGATAATTGCAGCAAAAGTCTCAAACTTTTGAAATACTAGTAGAGTTTCTACAAACTTATAATTTGTTGCAGCCGTCACCCATAACATTTCCATACGTTGCAGGTGAAGCCCCTTTAGACAGTATTCCTCTACAATTTCGTCGATTGACCAAAAATTTAATTTTGACCACATTTTTAATATTTTAAAAAGGGATAAAAGAGTAACTTTATATTTATCATACTAAATAACTAAACTAATTAAATTTTAAAAATAAGAAATAAATTAAAAAAACACAATTGTCTTCTTCCTCTCACCCCCACGCAAACCCCGTCCCCCACCTTAAACCCAAAATCAGCCACTCGACTACACCTCCACCAATTAAAAACTGAAAAAAGAGCTTCTACTCTACAAAAGTGTCTGCAACTTGACCGTGCCCACCACTAATTGCACTGAAATTTGTATCCTTTTCTCACATACACAAAAAAGCACATTCTATGTGAAAATATCGCAAAGATTGTGTCGTATGCTGTAATCTACTCTATATAGGGTTATGATTTTGTATCTCAATCATGCAACATGCTAGCTACGGGTTAGGTTTAGTGTTTTTGTTTTTTTTTTTTGGTGAAAGCTTACTTCAAAACTGCTTAGATTCACTCTAGATTTGAATGGGGAACTACCGTAGATCTCCGACGATTGTCTAATTTTTTCAGGGCATGATCACAGGGTAAGAGGAAGAAGATGATCGTGATAAATAGAAAGTTATACTTTTGCCCCTTTTTAAAATGTTAAAAATGTGGTCATAGATAGATTTTTTGTCAACCAACGGAATTGTGGATGAAACTATCTAGAAGGCTTCATTTACGATGTTTGGAAATGCTATAGGTGACGGCTGCAACAAATCAAATATTTGGATAAGTCTGTTAGTATTTCAAATGTTTGAAGCTTTTGCTGCAATTATTCATAAAGTTTAAGTTAAAACTTAACTTATATGTAGAAAAATTACTTATAAATAAAATGTCATTTAAGAGTAAAAACGTTTCCTACGAGAAATTATAAATTGAAAATTTTATTAAAGGATATATATGCAATTTTATTCTTTGTAAAAACTTTTAGAATCACTTGATAATAAATTTCTGAAGTGTTGGCACTAAAACCACCCAAAATGGGACTCCCTAATAAATGTAAAAAATTGGTACCCCAAAACTCCCAAGCAGGCGCTTAAGCTTGGTGTTTGTTGATTTTGCAGTCAATTTGCTGAATTAGAAACCCATTATAAATCTGTTTTGTTTGTGGGATGTCATTGTGAAGTTACTGTTTTTATTAATAAAAAGAGTGGATCCAGTAGAACTTATTTAACAGTGACAAAATTGTTCTGGATTTCTAGCTGGAATGGAAATCTTATTGTTTTGTCTTGTTCAACAAATTTACTGTATTCTGAATTGTTCTATAAAAAATTTAACCATGTGAGACAGGTGATGCTTTGAATGAACTGAAGGGCAATTTGTATGATCCGAACGATGTTCTTCAGAGTTGGGATCCTGTCAATCTGACCCCGTGCAGTTGGTTTCGTGTTACTTGCAACAGTAACAATAGTGTTACTAGAGCGTAAGCCTGCACGTTTTTGAATCAAAGATCTTAGGTACATAATTTGCTTTTAAATCGCATTAATTTTCTGATTATGGATATATTTTGAGTTCGTTTACACTCAGTGATCTTGGCAATGCAAATTTGTCTGGTCAACTGGTTCCACGGCTTGCTCAACTACAATTTTTAGAGTACTTGTAAGTCACACTTTCACATATCAAAATTCGAATTCCATATGAGCTTGGAAACATTTGTTATCGTCTGAAGTCGCATCTCCTTCCTTTTCTCCCCCCTTCTGTTGGCAGGGAGCTGTATAATAATAATATTAGTGGAAAAATTCCATATCAGCTTGGAAACTTAACAAACTTGGTGAGCTTGGATTTTTACATGAACAACCTAGATGGCCCAATCCCTGACACATTGGGCAAGCTTCAGAAACTTCGTTTCCTGTACGGGTTACTCCCTTTGAACTTTATGTTATATTATTTGTTTTTGAATTTTTTTCTTGCTTGTTGAATTGAAACTTTGCCCTTCAAAATGGGCTTCGGGTGTTATTTAGAGCACCAAACACAGGGCAGCATTTTTTTTCGTCTTTTCTTGTATTTTTCTTCTTTGAGATTAATTTTCTTGATGTCTCTACCACGATTCCTAAGATCATCATGTGGCTTACAACAAATGAAGTTAAAAATCACAAGGCCACTGGCCAACATTGCCTTTGGCCTTTTCCTTCAACTGTGCATGTTTTATTGGAAAATTAGCTACTGTCGCCCTTTCTATGAAGAGTCAATTATGTCCAAGTTTTTGTTGCTGGTGTTGCATTGTACTCTTGCTAAAGAAAAACTGTTGAGTGGCTAATATATTCCTATATAAAAACATCATACTTACGGACAGTAGTTAGTCTGTCTTGATGGTGGTAGAGAACAAAAACTTTCGATTTTTGTAGTGTTAAAATCATGTTCAAAGATCTTGGTTTTTCTTACGTGCAAACACCATTGAGTTAGATGCAACCAACCACTGTGTAAAACAGTACAACTTCCTTGTAGAGCAACATACTTACTGCAATTGAAACAGATAATTGGACTTGTCATGAATCAGAATGCTCAACCGAAGTAAAAACAACAAAATTAATTGGTGCTTATTGTTCACACATTCTATTATTGTTTGACTAAAAAAACTTGTAAAGCAAGCATATGCTGTTTTAAATCCTTCATATCCTGGTAAACAAGTCGATTTACGTTGCATTTAAAGCTTAAACATGACAACTACTCAAATTTATATCTTGCTTTAGTTCTCATATTTCAGACTTTAGATAATGTGCAGTTTGGAATACCATAAGCAACTAATTGTTTTCTCTCTTTTCTAATTTGCGCTCATTCTTTGAGCCTAATGATGTTTGTATATTCTTTAAATTTGAACTACACAGGAGGCTAAACAATAACAGTTTGACTGGAGAAATTCCCATGTCTCTGACTACTGTCAATACGCTTCAAGTTCTGTAAGTTGGGAGTTGAAGTATTTTGTTTAGTTGGTGGTTTTTACTTCCATTAGTTTCTTGGTGGACTGATATTCATTTCTGTGTGTAAATGCAGTGATCTTTCAAATAACTGGCTAACAGGAAAAATTCCAATCAATGGTTCCTTTCAACTTTTCACTCCAATCAGGTTTGACTTGTGTATTTTCTCCAGGTAGACCATAGTAATCCATCAAAGTCTTGTGCTGACTGCCGAGTTCCTTTTTTCAGTTTTACCAATAACAGCCTGGAACCTCTTCCCATATCTCCACAGCCTCCATTTCAACCGACAAACCCATCTCCTTCAGGAGGTTTGTCAACTCCTTGTGCATCATCCTCTTTTATGAATACTTTTTTCCTTGCTGATGTTTAAGGGAAGATTGACCCTTGCCTATGTACTTCTTCTGAAGAGATCAGAAGTTGCGTATGTTTTTGCAGAAGCTAAAGAATATGCAAAAGTTGCTGACTATTTTTTATTATTTGCATTTGATACATTCACCAGAATAATTTTCTTAAGTAAAATATTTAATCTCATACTTGAGATAAAATACACTATTTTCAATCAAAATAATGTCATCTAGTAGTACTTTTGTGTTTCTGAAATTGTTAAGTCATAAGTGTTAGTTTGAATTCTGAACTGCAAAGTTCAAGAATTGCTGTGGACTTTGCTGCCAACCACATTTTTAGGATGAGTAATGTTATTTAGCACCACTGGTATTACAACACTTCTCTAGGTAGCATTAAGTGATAATTGAAAGATGCAATTAAATGAATCATATAATTTCACATTTTGTTGAACTTATCACATAATGTTACATAGACTGGTGCTCTAGACGCCTCTAACACCAATGATGCTAGATAGCATTATTCTTTTAGGATTTAGCTGAATGAATAACAAGACTGTGAATTGATTACATGCAGTTGGCAACAGTGCTACTGCGCCCATTGCTGGAGGGGTTGCTGCTGGAGCGGCCCTTCTCATGGCTGTTCCTGCAATTGCACTTGCTTTGTATCGACAAAGGAAGCCACAAGATCATTTCATTGATGTTCCTGGTTAGTAGGTAAAATAATGGGTTAACTTGAGCATCATATTGCATTACCTATTGTCTCTTGTCTTGTATCCTTTGCAGCTGAGGAGGATCCAGAAGTTCATCTGGGACAACTAAAGAGGTTTTCCCTGCATGCGCTACAAGTTGCAACAGATAATTTTAGCAACAATAATATTCTTGGCAGAGGTGGATTTGGTAAGGTTTATAAAGGCCGATTAGCAGATGGCTCTCTAGTGGCTGTAAAAAGGTTAAAGGAAGAACGCACTCAAGGCGGAGAGCTGCAGTTCCAAACAGAAGTGGAAATGATCAGCATGGCTGTGCATCGAAATCTACTTCGCTTACGTGGCTTTTGCATGACACCAACAGAACGGGTACTTGTTTATCCTTATATGGCTAATGGAAGTGTTGCATCTTGCTTGAGAGGTAGGCTTGATCCATTTCTCCTGTATTTAATTGTACTACGTTAAAAATATAATTTTGGGAATGTGATAACTGTTATAAATAATGCAACATAATATTTTTTTTTCGCAAAAATGTATTGTCCAAGCAATCATATATACTTCACAAGAATCACAATTGAAGCACATCTTCATGATGCATTGAGAGAGATGAGTTTGGATTTTTGTTCTTACTTCAGATATATTATCAAAATTTTAATCCAAAAAATAATATCTATGAATTTACATTCTATGCTAGTAATGAAATTAATTCTTCACTTGAGATACAAAAAGAAGATTGTTTCAGTTTGAGTAATTTATGCCTATTAGGGGAATCTGCAACATTAATATCTTGTTAAATTTCATTCAGAATGTTAGTGGTATTATGTACATGAATTATACTAATTACAGGGTAAACTACACCATCTACTTCTCTTACCTATTGTAAGAGAATCGCTCACCGCATGGAAAGAAAATTGGTTCATAATTATGTAACCACACTCTGTGCCAGGTGTGTTTGCTTGTGCATTTGTGCAGATTTAGGTAATTCGATCTCATAGTGCAGCTGAAAATGATAGTCCAAGTAAATGTTTGATAACACAGGATCACACTTGATGGTTCAGTTGAGTTTTGCTTTATATTCTCTCTTACTGTTCTAACGAGCATATTAATGCATTGTTGTAGAGCGACCTGAATCACAACCTCCACTTGATTGGTCAATAAGAAAACATATAGCATTGGGAGCTGCGAAGGGACTTGCTTATTTGCATGATCAATGTGACCCTAAAATTATTCATCGTGATGTCAAAGCCGCAAACATATTGCTGGATGAGGCCTTTGAAGCAGTTGTTGGCGATTTTGGGTTGGTCAAACTTATGGACTACAAGGATACTCACGTTATCACTGCAGTGCGTGGCACAATTGGTCATATAGCTCCAGAATACCTTTTCACTGGTAAATCTTCTGAGAAAACTGATGTTTTCGGGTATGGGGTCATGCTTCTTGAGCTCATCACTGGGCAGAGAGCGTTTGATCTTGCTCGGCTTGCCAGCGAGGATGATGTGATGTTACTTGACTGGGTGAGCATTCCATTCCATATAGCCCTTCTGTATTGTTGTATTGTTCTTAGCTGTGCTTAAAAGTTACATTTCGTGAAAGAAAAAGCTAAAACTGACTTACTAGAAACTAAGTTTGTTAGTAAAATAAGTAACTCTGAAAATCATGTTGGGAAAAATGAGTTAATTAAAAGAAAGTATGACTTTACTTTTGAGCGCAGCCAAACACGCAGATAAATTTTTGATTTGGCGGCTTCATAAAAGTCTTCATCATGGGACAATGAAAAGAGGAAGAACTGATACTTGAATATTATATTTGATTTTCAGGTTAAGGGACATCTAAAGGAAAAAAAATTGGAAACATTTGTAGACGCGGACCTTCAGGGTAATTATATCGAGGATGAGGTGGAGCAGCTAATCCAGGTAGCTTTGCTCTGCACACGCAAAACTCCTACGAAACGCCCCAAGATGTCTGATGTCGTCAGGATGCTCAAAGGTGATGGCTTGGTCGAGAGGTGGGAAGAGTGGCAAAAGGAAGAAATGTTCCGTCAAGAATTTGGTCGCACTCAGCAGCCTAATACTGAGTTGATCGTTGTCAACACCACTTACAATATCCGAGCCGATGTATTGTCTGGGCCAAGATAACCATGGTTCCAATGCACGAGATCTTGTCTCCGACCTGCTTGAGAGAGAGTAAAGGTTGTCAATGCAATTTCCCATTGCACTAGAGGGCTTCTTTGGTTTTTGTCAATTGTCGTCATGGTTGTATATGATTTTCTTTCGTTCTTTTTTAACCTAAAATTTTGTTTAGGTCCAGTTAGTATCGTAGTTGTATATGATTATTTCACAGGAGAAGAGGCTGTGGAAGCACCCTTTTTTTTTACTTTCACCATTGTAATTCTATTCTTATGTACTGAATAGTGAATGCTGTCCAGAAAGAAATCCACCTTATAAATTATTATTCTCAGAATTCATTTCTTGCTTCATTTTTGAAAAGATTCAAGCATCAAATCTAAATTTAACTTCAGAAATACGAAAGCAGCCATATTACAATAGGGTTAATCTCAAAAACATTTACTGGAGTTAATTAAAAATTTCANNNTTACTGGAGTTAATTAAAAATTTCAAAATAATCATTGAAGTATTTTTCTTACACAAGACGTTGTTCAAGTATCTAACGATTACGTTAATTGCCACTCAACTAAAAATGTTAACTAGAATTCTCTGTGGAACCGTTACATGTCAACGTGTGCACAAATAGTGTAAGCTAGTATGTCACATCAAATATAATAGTAAATATTAGAAAAATTAATCGAAAAAAACCTTTAAATTTAATTTTAAGTGAAGGTTGTTAGTCTACTTTTTCATTTTATTAGCATATGATAAAAGATCATCATTTCCTTTGGCTATTTTGTTCTCCTCTTTTCTTTTCTTCTTATATCATAAATCTAGACTTCACATAGAATTGTGATTAATTGTGCTTTCTTATACTCACAGTTGACATGATTATCGAAGTTTCATCATCAATATTTTCTCTTGAAATGATGATCTTGATGCCAAATGATTTATGTTCGAGTTTACAGGTAATATACAGATAGATCAGGAGGTGAAAAGAGATCCTTTGACAGGAACCATACTACTTGTACAATAAATTTGATAATAAGTTTGACAATGTGTGAGTTGACAGACATTATGTCTATTGATTTGAANTTCTTGTAGTGGCTCCTAGTTGCAATTTATGTATGAAGGGTATTTTTGGGAAGTTTTATTTCTGTAACTATTCTGTAAGTGAATAGTTCTGTAATTATATCTTTTTCCTTCTATAAATGCGTCTTTTTCCCTTTAGTTCATCTCCTCCCTTCCTCCTGTTCATTTCCCAGAATAAGTGCCACTGTGTTAAAATACATACAATTATACAAATGTCTCCTTCCAAAGATTTTACATTCATACAGGCACCCACAAAGAAAAAGCGCAAGGTTTTTAAACGACGAGGTACCAAAATTCATCACTGATTTCTTGAACCTTTAATTTATTTTTATTCCTTTTCTTGTTTTCTGTTCTGTAACAGTTAAAATCAAGACAAGAAAGAGAGCCCAAATCGCAGAAATGAAGAAAGAAAAAGAAAATGTTACTCCACTTGTAAGAAAATACTGGCTTCAAAGGTACGATCTTTTTTCAAGATATGACGAGGGTATCAAAATGGATGAAGAAGGTTGGTTTTCCGTCACGCCTGAGGAAATTGCTGCTCAGCAGGCACGGTGGTGCGCCGGTGCCGGAGTGGTCATCGACGCCTTTGCTGGCGTCGGTGGCAATGCCATTCAGTTTGCACAAATGTAAGTTTAACACTCTAATTAATAATAGAAATATAATTATATGATAATATTTTATTAGAAACTTACTCTAAATTCAAAGATGTTTAAAAAGCTCTTTGATAAAATTAAAAGTGAAGATGTAAACAATTTGTGGCTTTTACATTTGCTCATATCCTAACTTTTACAGTTTTACTGTGTTTAGGTGAGTTCAAAATTGGGAAGAACGATTCGTTTTAATTAGTCGAAATTTTACAATGAAAGTTATGGGCCAAACGCCGTATCCAACGGGAATGGAGGTCTGAATAGGCTGTGGAAATAATAGTGAACCAATTTTTGTGTGCCAATTTAGTCATTAATAAGGTCAGGCATTACGTTGGATGGTAGTTGGATTCAGCTTTTAGTCTGGATGAGTTCAATAACTCTAGGATTGTGTTCTTGTTTAATTCTATAGGCCCGTTAAAGCTTGAGAAGTCTTTAAATCTTGGAACTTTTTATGCAGAAACATCACGTTTTGGTCTTTTGTAAGCACTGAATGGTGCCTTACTTACGGTTATTACATGTTTTGTACACTTCAATAGGTACAAAATTTTATCTTCTTTTTCTTCATTAATATTAATATTGTCAAATACTATTCAGTCCACCTTATTGAACATGCAATTAATGCCGTGTGAGCCATTTCAAAAGTTTATATATCTTGTATTTTTGTTGTAGCCATATGCATATGCATATGTCTATTGTTATAGGAACATGGATTTTGAAACTTCTTTTACTTTGTTTTCCATGCATCAAGAGAATCTTTTGATGACTAGAACAGCAGTTGAATAATACTTATATTGCTACTTTTAGGTGTCATCGTGTTGTTGCAATCGACATTGACCCAAAAAAGGTTGCACTGGCATCTGATAATGCAAGGATATATGGTGTAGAGGATTATATTGATTTCATTGTTGGAGACTTTTTCCAACTGTCTCCCTTTTTGAAGGTACTTGTCCCCCTATTATATCTTCTTAAGATTTTGAAATTTTAAATTTGGTAGAAACTACATTCATGCATTGGATGGACCATGTTGTGCTACTTATTTAGGCAGTGTTACACGACCCAAGTTGGTGGGGGTGTGACATGGATTATTTATTTAATTATTTCTATATGGTACTTAATTTGTTCCTCAATCTTATTGAGAGTCGGATGGATCACCTGGCGTTGAATTTATGCCTCATATCAACTCAATTAGAATGAAATTGTTATTATAGAGAGATCCAGAAAGATACTCTTGTTTTCAATTGTTAACCCGTCTTAAGTAGGGGAACTTTGTTGTATCTTTTTATCCTTTCTATGTAGAAATACTCTATTTTGGGCATGCCTTTACGCCTCTCTATAGTGATCAAATCGTAGAATGCTGCCACAAGAAACTCAAAAGTGAAGAATGATAAGTCTGTTCTCAAATGGATTCTCCAACCACGCTGCTTGGAAGATATAATGGTACATTGACTGCTAAATAAATAGTGGTTGTATTGTGATCACCTTGTGAGCATGTTGAAGCTAATAGCATATTTGGGCATATGATACTAACTTTCAAGTTTCAAGCATGAACATTTAAAGAATTCTCAGTCCTTTGCGTTCTCTTCATTTTGGAGTTTGATAATCACATAGGAGGATGGCAGTGGTGAATAAATATAATATTAGGCAACGATATAAGTATAAATTTAAGGAAATGACCATTTGGCCTTCAAAATATAAAATTTGGTTGTTGACTGTCTTGCTGATGTTGCAAGCCTAACATTATATTTTCCTAAATTCGAAGTTCTGCTCATTTTTTAGGGGGACGTGGTGTTCCTTGCACCACCTTGGGGAGGTCCATCATATAAAGCAAAAGAAAATTTTACCCTCGACTTGCTGAAGCCGAAAGATGGGTATGTGATGAAGTTTTTGTTTTAAGGTTTCTTATCATTAAATAAAAATTGGATTGAACGCAACTTCCTTTATCTTTTGTTATCCAAGTTTATGCATATGCAACGTGTGATGTAGTGGTAGATTAAGGTGCAAATTTTCATTTGTTTCTGTGGCATATTGCCTCTGTACTTTAGTGATATGTGTTCTGTTATTTTCAGAAATCAGACAGTTAATATGCTAATTAAACTGTAAGTCGAGGGACTTGAATAGGAATGGATTACAACTATACAACGATTTGGAATTATATCATTGGGATCTCCATGAAACCAAAGATACTGGAGTATTTTCCTTGAGTATTTGATGATATAGTCCGTGTTACTTTTCATGGCAATTCTTCGGTGTGGTGTACTTATAAATTGGCGATGAAAAGAAACCTGAGTTTACTATGTTTGCAATTGCAGGCATTCGCTGTTTCAAGTTGCTCAAGCAATAAGTGGATTGTAATAATACATGAACGGGCGAAATGTGGATTTACTCCAAGCAACTGCACTTTCATGGTTATCGTTTCCACCTTTAGATGTCGAGGTATATCTTATTCCTACACGTATCCTGTTTTGATATCAAAGAAAATTTTCATGAATCTTTCTACAAATAAAAACTGATATTCTATTTGCAGATTGAAGAAAATTTTGTGAGGGGCAATTCAAAGGGCATAACCATCTATTTTGGTTATTTCAATAGCTCAGCGCATCTCAAACTCTCAAGATGAAGCTTTTTTTATTTATCTTCCGCCATTCTGACTTGCACCTTGTAAATATTTGTTCGAATTGTTTTGAAAATGTAATATAAATCAGCTTACTGACTATTTCTTTGTTATCAGTTTGCAATTTGGATCAATGGCAGTTGTTGAATATTGATGCCAATTTTGTCTTTTATATTCAACTATGGGGCGATGATGAAATGGACTTGGCCCAATATTGTTGGAACGGATACATTACCATTGCCCAATAACACAATATTAGTTTCAGGCCCAAAACCCAAGCCCAAGTAATAAATCCAAGTTAGTTGCTCTGGCCC